CCAAATTAAAACTATTGTAATAGATGTGTGAATACATGATATCTTAAATTCAACTTTTTACTAAACAATTTTATCTGCATGCCCTTTTCCAACAAAATTACGTAAAATACATATATACCAAGATTTCTAAGATTTTGAACAGGTTAGAATATAATTTATCCCCATTTATTCACAGCTTAACTTTTTCCTGAGATACATCTTCCTTGTAATTTTTTTATTTCTCTGCTATGTTTATTTTTTAGTTTCTTTTTTCTTTCAGTTCCATTTATCTTTAGTTTTTATTACTTTTCTTTACCATTAAATCTAGGGGGCATTTTTTAAAGAGTAGCCAGGCTATAAGCTTTATAACTTTTTGTTAAACTTAATTTTAAGTTTTGCTAATAAATGGTATTATAACCAAGTAAGAATCAAAAAGTATATCTATAGTAAAGTAAAATTATTCGTACTTACATAATACATCCAACTGAGGCAACCATTTCCGCAACAAAATTTTATCAGATTTCCCTTCCATTGACTCGTTCTCATATTTCCACAAGACTCTGTATGGTAATAAATCAAAAGCTTGTAGGAAGGCTCTCGCTGTCTTTTGGGAAAAGTGTGACCTTTGGTCATGGAACCCATACAAAAGTATATTACTCCTTCGGGAGAATCTTCAATCCATTTCTTTAAATCCTAAAAAATGTATGATGGATAAAACATTTAAAATTTTTATATTAAAACTTTGTACATAATAATATTATATCCACTGATCCAACGTTATTGTCAACACAGTAGACTCTGAAGGTCAAAGATGGCTATGATAGCTATATATCACAAGTTTATCATAATTTTAGATATACTTGTCAGTTTACGTCAACCTTGACTTTTCAAGTTTTAGTAAACAAAATTATTTTTAAATTTGCTATTCAAGGATAAAAAAAGCGATATATGCTCAAAATGTATTTTAGAAATGGCAAAAGAAGTAACGTAGAATAAGTTTAGTCCAACCGAGCTGCTTTTGAAGATTTTGTGAAGAATTTCCAAATTTTGTTGTCATTATGGCGTATTTTGCAAAACTATTATATAAGCGAAGGCAGGTAACAGAATTGGTCAGAACAGTTAGTGAAGATCAACTACATATAACCCCAAAGGCTAGCCATCCGTAACTGGTTTATGAAAAATCTCAATAATAATGATGATTTGACAAAACCTTTCATGCAGAGGGCAGATAACTCGTATTATTTTATTTATGCTCCTTTAAATCCACAGAAACCTTAAGTTTAGACTGTAGTAGAAGCAACAGTTAAAATTTAGTGTTGGTAAGGTAGGCGATGTGTATCTTATGGGAAAATGGCTGACCACGTTACTGGTTTAGCCCGAGCGGCGCATCAGGACCAGATTTAAGAATCATAGCACTAGAATATACTCGCACACAACAATTGCCTAAGGTTGTACAAAACATATTAAAAATTCCTCGTCGTTAACTTATCTATATGTATCAATTATAAATAGCTTCCATTGTAAACACATTCTTTAGGAAATAAAGATCCGTATAAAGTCATTAGGAGAAGCGAATCAGTTTTAATCCCAATTATCGATGCAAAACAAACATGTGTTTTTTGTCGATTTGATAGCTTGATACCTTGACTATTAGTGTGGAAAAAGTTTTGATAATGTGTGGTGTGTTCGCAAAATTTATAATATTCGCAAAGAGGCCCAGCAAATCAAACTGAAATCCATACAAAAAGGAAGAAAAACAGCTTCCACTCCAAGTGACGTGAGAATACTTATGATGAGGGAGTGAAATCTCGAATGAGAAAAATTGTCCATGATTTCTGTTTTGAATACATACCATCAACCGTTGACAGCATTATGAACAAAGTGAAGGATGATAAGGACCAGCTTTTTCAAAAACCACATTTCGTAGGCTATTAAATAATATGGATTTTGAATATGGTTAAAAGAGGTTGAGATTAGATAATGATGGAAAGACAAGATATTTTGTGCACAATTATATTGTGCCCAAGACTATGATGTAGTGCTTTAAAGTCCTTCCCCTTTTAAATTCAATGTTTGTTTCGTCCCTTCTAAGTGTTTTTCTGTTTTTAGTGTGTTTAAATTATCCTTAAGTGTTTGTGTTTTACCATTTTATTCATTTTATTTACTTGACCATTCCAATAATTGACTCATTGCCAATAGAACTTTATCAAAGTAATTTGATAACTACAAGTTTGGAAATAATTGCACACCCACACCAATTTTACATCTACACTTATTCATTGTCATAAATGTCACCTTCATAAAACAATTACTCAATAAATAACACACATTTCAAAAATATATCTCTGGAATAAGTATAAATAACTTTTAATAACACAATAATATATTACACCACTTACATTTAACAAACAATC